TCATCTGATTTTTTTAATATTGAAAATCAGGTGGCTGCCTGGGTGGCTTAGTTGGTTAAGCATCTGACTTCGGCTCAAGTCATGATCTCACAGTTTGTGAGTTCTGGCCCTACATAGGGCTCTGAGCTGTCAGCTCTGGATTCTGTGTGGATTTTGGATTCTGTGTTTCCCTCTCTCCCTGCCCCTCCCCCACTCACTCTCTGTCTCAAATGAATAAATGTTAAAAAAAAATATATTGAAAAACAGTTTTGGGGCCCCTGGTGACTCAGTTAAGTGTCCAACTCTTGATTTTAGCTCAGGTCATCATCTCATGCTTCGTGAATTCGAGCCCTGCATAGGGCTCTGCACTGACAGTAGGGAGTCAGCTTGGGATTCTGTGTCTGTCTGTCTGTCTCTCTTTCTCTCTCTCAAAATAAATTTAACAAAAATCAGTTTTTACTCAAACTAAATTGATCATTGCTCTTTTGCTTTTCTTTCTACCTGCAGTAGGGCATTAGAGTGTCCCCTGGCTTGTTGCTCAATTAGCAGCCAATAAATCAGTGATTCACCAATGTTTATTCTTGTTAGCCAGTCAGTACACATTTATAGATTTAGCAGAGCTAATTATTTCATACACAGAGTAATATACCATAGGTTCTTTCATAAAATCTCAGAGCATTTATTTTATAAGTAATTGAAATAGTTTTATTCTGTGCATTTTTTTTTCACAAAAACGGGATATATATGCTGTTTAGGAAATTGTTTTAATTTTATTTTTTACCTATTGTATTGTTACCGTCTTACCATGTCAGTAGATACAGATCTTGCTCATTGTTTTTAGTGACTGCGTAATATTTCACTACTTGGTTGTGCCATAGTGGGTTTTTTTGTTTTTTGAGAGAGAGAGAGAGAACACATACACAGAAGTGAGCTGGGAGAGTGGGGGAGAGAAAGAGAGAGGGAAGGAGGGAGAGAATCCTAAACGGGCTCCATGCTCAGCACAGAGACTTACACAGGGCTCAATCCCATGACCTGGGATCATGACCTGAGGCAAAATCAAGAGTCTGACACTCAACCAACTGATCTACCCAGGCACCCCTGTACCTTAGTGTTTTGTTTTGTTTTTTAATTTTTTAAAATATCCATTTATTTTTGAGAGCAAGAGAGAGCACGCTAGCAGGGGAGGGTCAGAGAGACAGGGAGACACAGAATCCAAAGCAGGCTCCAGGCCCAGAGCTGTCAGCACAGAACGCAGTGTGGGGCTCGAACTCCTGAACCGTGAGATTATGACCTGAGGTAAAGTCAGACACCTAACCAACTGAGCCACCCAGGCGCCCCTGTACCATAGTTTTTTTGTCTGCTTGTTTGTTTTTAACAAGTCCCTTATTGGTAGGCTTTTAGGTTGTTTCAAGGTTTTTTTTTTCTTTTTTGAGAAAGAGCACTACACTGCAAGTGGGGGAGGGAACAGAGGCAGAGGGAAAGAGAGAATTCCAAGCAGGCTCCATGCTGTAGGCAGAGAGAGGGAGGGAGGGAGAGAGAGAGAGAGAGAGAGAGAGAGAGAGAGAAACCGACCCAAGCAGGCTCCATACTGCCTGTGCAGAGCCCAGTGTGGGGTCAAACTCACAAACTGTGAAATCATAGCCTGAGCAGAAATCAAGAGCGGGATTGCTTAACTGACTGAGCCTCCCAGGCCCCCCAGCTAGTTTTTTATTTTATAAACAGTGTTACTCTAACATTTTGTTTATGCATCATATGTACTTGTGTGTTTACTTAGAATAGAGAATATATTTATTGCATCAAATTGTGCACGTTTTAAGGGCTTTTGATGTAAGTAGCAATTTTTTAAAAATACCAACCAGTTTACAGTAGTATTTCAAGTTGTTAGAATGTTGAAAGTGTTCTTTTTTTCTGTACCCTCTCCCATCCTGTGTTCTCTTCGTTGTTCTTTTTGCCTGAGTGGTGAAAATGTTCTCTCATATTTGCATTTTTTTTATGAGTAAAGTTGAATATCTTTTCACATATTTGTTGGTTATTTGCAGTTCGGTTATAAGTTTATGTTCTTCTCCCATTTTTCTATTAAAGTGTTATTCTTTATTTGCTTTTATTTTTTAAATTTGTTTTATGTATTTTGCTAAGCATTTAATTATTTTTAAATATACCTATACTCTGTTACTCTTTTAGGATAGCATATCTCAAAACATGACTTACGGGCCACTTAACTTGTAATAGTATCTGAGATGATTGGTTAGAAAATGCAGTTCATTTTCCAGAGATTCAGATTTCTTAGACTTGTGAGGGGATTCATGAATCTGCTACACATTAAAATTAGAGAGACCCTTTGATTTGGAGGAAATATAAAGTAAGATTTTTACTCTTTTTGTCTTATTGAGTTCACTTTTTTCTTATTTCAATAATCATAAACTACAGTCTTAAAATATTAAGATTGTCATCCTACTTCAGCCTAACAATAGATTTTACAGGAGTGTTTTGATATATGGTAATTTGGATGTTGTGGTACACAAAGGAAACCATTTTAGGAGGCGGTGGGAAGCTTCACTTCTACATGAGGAAAAGAAGTAACCGAGAGGAAATCAGGTAAAATAAAGTGGGAAGAAGTATCAGGAGGTGTCTCATCTAGTTTTAAAAACTCAGTGAAGTATTTTTCATTTCTTTTATATGGTAGTTGTCTTTGAACCACAAATTTGAAACAGTGAAATTTTAAAAACTCTTCAGTTTAAATGAACTTCAAAAAATTTGGGGTATTACTATATATATATTCAGTAAGGAGCAGTGTTCTCTTTAGTAGTTTTTTTTTTTTTTTTTTTTTTTTTTTTAAGTTCTAAGCAGATGAACATGCTGCATAAGCAGCAAACTACAAAGACTGAACTTACATGGATATTTTAATGTAAACTGATAAAGCTTTCAGTAGTTTTTTTTGACACACATTTAATGGTATGCATGATTGTTACTATGTTGCATGTAATTAAGCTTAATTGTAAATGATTATGTTTACTACCTGTTTTATATAGCCAGACCCCACATTTCTGGGGCCAGTTTGAAGGAAGGAAAAATATGGCAGGCCAAGAAGCTGTCGCAAAGATCTCTAACTTAGAGACTTTGTATACAGAGATTAGTCATTTGGAGCAAAGATAGGCTCATAACCTTAATATTCCAAATTCTAATTCTTAGACTCTCCTTTTCCCTTCCTCCACTCAATACCATGTACTACAGGAAGAAACTAGAAAGATTGAACCACTGCTTTATTTTATCCGAATAGTTTTTTCTGCCTAATAACTAAAGCTTGGGATGCAGAGGTCCCAAGCATTGAGAGTGAACAAAGAACAGTTTCTTTCCCTGCTTCAGTGAAACCAGTCCAGGTCTCAAGATCTAAACTGTCATGGGCCCTAGTATTTAAGTTGTCTTATTAACCTGTGTCTCTGAGAATTTCTGAACCTGACCATTCTCATGTTTTCTGAGCTCAGGCTTTCCACAACAAACTTAGAAATACTCAATGCATATAAAACAAAATGAAATTAAAGTAAATTCAACATCATTATTAAGCCAGGTGAAAGTATAACAACTTAGTGTATACTTTCTTCCTACCAGACCTACCTTCTACCCTGTCCACTACCTCTCAGCCCCAAATAAGATATGTATCTTGCCCCTGGAAAAGTAGGAGCAAGTGAAAATACTATAAAGCTTAGTGGAAACCATAACTGGGAATCCTATTCCTGCTGTGTTTTTTTGTTGTTGTTTTTTTTAGGGATGATTTTTATTCTTTGCAGCCTGGCTGTGCAATGAAACATTTGTTAGTCAAATATTTCTACATCTATGGTACAAAGTTTTTGTACTATCTAAAAAGATGATGTAATGTTGGAAAAATTTCCTGATAGTACTTTAGAACCTTCTATTTGCCAGTTCACTATTGGTTGATGGAGGTAGCCTTTGTATAACTGTGATTCAGTAATAAAATTACCTAATCTTTGATGCTGCTTTACCATTTTATAAAGTATGTTTACATATATTATCTCAGTTCACTCATATGTCATCCTTGTAAAGGAGGTAGTATCTTCAGAAGAAAAATTCTGAGTTCAGAGAAGTTAAATAGTACGTTTACACTTACACAGCTAGTAAGGGACTTGAATTCATATCTTTCAATTTATTTATATTTCACCTTTTTCACAAATACATTCTGCCAAGCCAGTTCATGTAAAAATGTACCATTAATGATTAAAACACATAAAGTAAATTTTAAATTTAATAGTTCCAATTATGGCATATTTAAATTAGGACAATAGCATAAGCATTTTTTAAAATGGATCAGTTATATCTGTGACAAATGAAAAACTGCCATTCTAGATAAGAAATAAAACCGTATGTTGGCAATTGAGGGAAGAAAATTTGCCTTTAAATTCTGGTTAAGGATTGTCTTAGTATATCTATAGCATAAATGATAAGTAGAAAAACTCTACTGTGTCTCTGAAATACTCATGTATTTTATCTATTAGGTCAGTATGACATCTTTCATGAAAGATTGTTTTATTTCTCTTTCTCTTAGTTCATTGTTGGTGTACGGAAACACAGATTTTTGTATATTGATTTTGTATCCTGCAACGTCACTGAACTCATCAAAGATTTTGAGAGGAAATTAATTTCTTTCATTAAAAAATACTTCTCAGATATTTCAATCAGAGGAAGAAATAGCTCTTCTCCTAAGATGGAATCTGTTGTTTGGGAATGTGGTTGATCAACTTGATATGTTGGCCAAATGTGCCCTATGTAATAAAATGAAAAGAAGAGACAAGATGATGTCATTTTCCCATATTGTGAAACCAAAAACAAATGCCTTTTGTGAGATCAAGCTAACAAACCTCTGACGGTGCAGAGTATTTAACTGTTTGAAGAACTTAACAGTAAGATATAGAAGAAAAACTTTCAAGCTGAGACCTGCAGGTGTATAAAGATCTAAAATACATATTGAGTAGGCCTCATCATCCGAATCTCATTCAGATCCAGGAAGGATGGCTATGAGTTGGATTGTCTTCTACGTTTGGCCCTTGACTATATTTGTGGGGCATATAGGTGGGCACAGTTTGTTTTCTTGCGAACCTATTACCTTGAGGATGTGCCAAGATTTGCCTTATAATACTACCTTCATGCCTAATCTTCTGAATCACTATGACCAACAGACAGCTGCTTTAGCAATGGAGGTAAGACTTGTTCTATTATTTGACATATCTTAGACAATGATTCTTACATTGTCTTGTTACTAATCTAATGAAAGTGATAACAGCAAAAGAATATATTATTTTTAACTGTCTTGTACATTAAAAAATTAGAGATTTAAGTTCAAACTCTAATAGATTGAAGAATTTATGTTTGGGGAATGTTACTCTTGACCTATTTTTAGACATGCTTTTATATAAAGAAATATGAAACACTGGTACATGGGAGATAATAGTTATTCAGAAATTCAAAATTGTGCAAGTTATGATTACATTTTTTTCCTGTTTGGCTGATCATAAAACCTCAGATAAAGAGTAGACTATAATAATAATATTCACAAATCAATCCTTAAGTATTGAAGGTAACATGATCTTGTGAAATAAATTCTTTTGTTCAGCCTTTAGGCTGGTGGTTTGTCATATTTGAATTTTCTTAAAATTTAAAAACATTTTTCTCATTTTACTTTGTTCACATCAATTTAAGAAGGATCACTCCTGATGAATGAAGGTTTGGTTGTGTAAATTATGCTGTTGACCTGTCACAATTTAATGAAAATTTGTTGCCTTTCTTGAATTTTTCTAGTGGTAACTCTTCAGGTAACTTTTTAATGATTTTACTTTAGAAACTATGGCAAATTAATGAATACAGTTAACAGTAGGTTTAAATAAATATGCATGCATTTCTGTAGAGGTTTTAGAATTGTGGACAAGGATAATATGTTTACCAGGTGAGAATCAGGGAGGCCGTGGATGGTGGTAGTAGGGAGCATAGGCTTATACAAACCTGGGTTTGAATTCTAGCTCTGTCACTTTCTAGCTTTTTCACTTTGGGCAAATTATGTGAACTTTCTTACCGTAGTTTCTTTGCTATGTAAAGCTTCTTGTAAAATGGAGCTAATAATAATTATACATAGAATGTTTTGTACTTTAGCCTTTAATCTATTGTTACAGTGTTTTCAGCACATTGAGGCCTATGTGTTTTGGAATTTTTCATTTTATGGTAAAACCCAAAGATTCATTACTTCCAAGTAGACTAGCATAAGTGTGTCTAGGAAAATTGGTAGAAAGATTATTGTTCATAGATTTAAAAAAAAATTTTTTTTAACGTTTATTTATTTTTGAGACACAGACAGAGCATGAACGGGGGAGGGGCAGAGAGAGAGGGAGACACAGAATCAGAAGCAGGCTCCAGGCTCTGAGCCATCAGCCCAGAGCCCGACGCGGGGCTCGAACCCACGGACCGTGAGATCGTGACCTGAGCTGAAGTCGGACGCGCAACCGACTGAGCCACCCAGGCGCCCCCTTTTTTTTTTTTTAATTTTTTTTTTAACGTTTATTTATTTTTGAGACTGAGACAGCATAGATTTTTAAATGTGAAGGGCATCTTATATATTCTAAATATTTGAAAATATTATAGAGGTTGAACAAAACATTTTCTGCTCTTCTGAATATACAAGGTATAACTAGCTTGGTACGGGCTAGCCAAGAGAGATTTGGTATAGACTATCAGATTAGGATATGAAAATGGGTATTGGTTTAGTACATTAATTTGGTTCTGGGCATAGCAGTCCTTGCTGTTTTTTGAAACTATCAATTCTCTCACAAAGAAATTGAAGTAGGAAAACCTTTGTTTTTATTTATAAATTTATAAATTTATAAATTACATTTATAAATCAATGTAATTCCTTTGGGAAATAGATAGGGTAGTAAGAAGCAAGTCATCAAGATATTTGAATTGATGTGGGTTCAGCTTTTGACTCTTCTTTGTAGTAGCTTTAAGACTGAACAAGTCCCTTAATAAGTCCCTTAGCCTTGGTTTCTTCATTTGTGAAACGGCAGTAATAACAAAAATACTTTAAAGGGCTGTTAGGATTAAACAAGAAATTTATAAAGTAGCTAGCACAGTGTATAGCATACAAAAGGTGATCTGCAAATGTTAATTCTATTCCATATTCCATTTCTAAATGATCCCAAAGAGAAGGTACTAGAAAAGTTAATATATTTGTTCCAAATGAACTTGCATTCGTTTGTAGGCTCTTGGGACATTCATGATGATGACATAGTAAACTGTCACTAACCTCTTCTTAAAGTTGCCTGTGTAGTCTACGTATTTTATTGGCAATAAGGTTGCTTCTGTTTAAGTTTCACACGTTCTAGGGAGAGCACCTCAGTGGGCAATATTTTCTAAGGGAAGGCTCCAGTTCTTTGAAGTAAAGTTGCAGATAGTTTTTTATTGCATGGTTGTCAATATCAGGACAGTGATGCCACTGACAAAAAGAGATGTCAGTTTGAGAGTGTAAAGTTTCTGTAATAGCAGAGGACATGGGAACTCAGCAGTCAACACAACATCCTTCCAAATGGAAGTAAGGATCTTGAGTCCTTACAAGGACTCGAATCTGCTGATGACACCCTCTATCTCTGCTCTCAGAAAATGTATGTTGGGGCGCCTGGGTGGCGCAGTCGGTTAAGCGTCCGACTTCAGCCAGGTCACGATCTCGCGGTCCGTGAGTTCGAGCCCCGCGTCAGGCTCTGGGCTGATGGCTCGGAGCCTGTTTCCGATTCTGTGTCTCCCTCTCTCTCTGCCCCTCCCCCGTTCATGCTCTGTCTCTCTCTGTCCCAAAAATAAATAAACGTTGAAAAAAAAATTTAAAAAAAAAAAAAAAAAAAAGAAAATGTATGTCAGCTTTTACCAGGAGCAAGTCATTGGAGCCAACAATTGGAGGACATTTTTGAGTGTTCATTGTGGGACTTGGTGAATTAAAGGATAATTTCCTAAGTGCAGCATCTTTTAGCAGGCCCATGTTTCAAGCCTGCCTAGGGTTCATTCCTGTACTGATGAGTGCCTGGAATATAATAGTATATGGCAGTGAGAGAGGGATACCACAGATGAGAGGAAATATAGAATCTGGGTTATCTCAAATTTGATTATTCATAGTCAACAGGTTGGCTGTTCTTTCATTGTAGATACAGGGTTCTTAGTATTTTCATTGAAATTGGAACATGTTTAAATAAATGGGTTAATGTATCAATTCATTAAGTTAGAAAAGATCTTTGTATGTTTCTCTGTTCCTCCCTTCCAAAACATATTCATCTATACACAGACACACATGCTAAATTTTTGTAAGTTCTTAACTTGGTATCTTTCTCTTTGAGTATCAGTGGTCTTTGATAGAAAACAACTTTTTTTTTCCTCCGTCCTGAGTTTTCCAAACCATTTTGAGCTGTGTGGATTGCTAAGTTAATTTTTGGGAGCTGTCCAGTGTGGACAACAAATTGTCAACAAATTGTAACTATCTTTACCAACCACACCGTTATCAGGTATTTATGACTCCATTGGTAATAAAAGAGATCTTAAGAGCCTCTCCCCCTATACTAAATAAATGCAGTTGAATAGGAAGGGGACAGTTTAGTGGAAAAAGCACTGAAATGGAGATAAGAAATTTGTATTTTGCCACTAACTAGTTTTGTCAGTTCTTTGTGTTGGTTTCTTCTAGGAAGTGTTTCTTTTTCCCTGTCCATTTTACAAGGTTGTTAAGATCAAATGATGTAAGTGATCTGTATATTTAAAAACTTTGAGGGGCACCTGGGTGGCTCAGTCGTTAGCATCTGAGTTCGGCTCAGTTCATGATCTCACGGTTTGTGAGTTCGAGTCCCACATCCCGTGAGCTTGTGCCCCGCTTGGGTGAGCACGAGCCCTACTTTGGATGAGCCCTGCTTCTCTCTCTGTCTCTCTCCTTGTGAGATTCTCTCTCCCCCTCACTTGTGCCCTCTTTCTCTCAAAAGAATAAAAATAAAAACTTTGAAAAGTTAAAGTGCTGTGTGAATGCAAAATAGTAGTCCTTGTTGTCTGTCACCCTGTCATCCTTTTAACTTCAGTTAGTATGTGGAACAAGCACTCTTACCTCTTTAGGAGGTTGATCACTTGTCTTTTTTTTTTTTTTTTTTTTTTTTTTTTTTTTTTTTTTTTAAAGGAAACTTGACCACTGTAGAATAATCAGAGGAAAAACTTTTGGGATGGTTTGTGTTTTGCCTCCATTTCCTGTTTTTTGTCATCTGCATTAAAGATTTTCTATAGCATGGAGAGCTGGCTGGCAGTGGGATAGATCCTACTGAGAACAACAGAGCCTAAAAGCCTCAAATCCTTGGTATTCTTTATGATTCATTAAGATCAAAACATGTTTGGGGGCACCTGGGTTGGTTCAGTTGGTTAAGTGTCTGACTTTGGCTCAGGTTTATGGGTTTGAGCCCCGTGTTGGGCTCTATGCTGATAGCTCAGAGCCTGGAGCCTGCTGGATTACATAATGTCACCCTCTCTCTACTCCTCTACCACCACCCCCCAATGCTCTGTCTCTCTCTGTCTCTCAAAAATAAACATTAAAAAAAATTTTTTTTGTAAAAAGTACATTTCATTTGAACCAATCTTGCTGTTATCAAACTCAAATTGTACCTTAAAAAAAACTTTTTTAGTACCTTTCGTGCTGCACAATTTGGATTCCAAGCGTCCCAACCCTCCTCAGGTCATAGTCTGTGAGTGTACAAAATAAATGAATGCTCATTATTACTGACTTGTCAGAACTCAAGTTACTTCCAGTTCATGTTTCCTCTCAATCCTCCTCCTGCTCTTTTTACTTGTCTGTCATCTGTCTGCTTCTTTCTCTTCCTACTACTCTCTCTCAAAAATAAATAAACATTAAAAAAAGGAGACTCAGGTGTCAATTCGGTTAACATCTCGAGTTAATGATCTCACGCGATTGCATTGAGAGTTAGGAGCTGTCTTGCTTGAAACCTGGAGCCTGTTTCCAGTTCACTTGTCTCCACCTCTATGACCCTCTATTTCTGTCCGCTCTGTCTTTTGTCTGTCTCAAAAATAAATAAAACGTTAAAAAAAAAATTAAAAAAAAAAACCTTTTTATTATAGTAAATTTCAATTATATAGAAATGTAGATAAGATGATATAGTGGACAACATATACCCATCATCCGGCT